GCGAATCGATTCATGTCCACGGGTTTAAACGGAGAGAAAACAATGTTGCTAATTTGCTGCAATGCCGCATTCGCTAATGTTTTTAAGTTTTCATTTTCTCGCATTTCCAAGTCGTAGAAAGCGAAAACTTTGAAATTTAAGGGGCCTCCTCTTTATTACGGCCTCAATTTAAAGAGCTTTTCCTAGCTTTGGAGTTTCTTTCAAAGATCAACCAGTGGCACCATCGTGTTCCTTGCAACATTTTACTTACGGAAAATTACTGAGGTCGCAAACCCCTGACACATGCAACATCATTGTCCGCCAAGATATACTTACTTTTTCTGGAACATAATGAGTGGGTCTGCATTCATGTCGGACATGTCGACGAGTTTCCCTTTGGCGATGACGTCGGGGTGTTTGCGGACCATGAGCCAGCCGACGTGGGAGAAGAAGAACCCGCGGCTGGCGTTGTGCGGGTCGGCGTCCGTGTCGCTGTACTTGTGGTGCTGCCGGTGGTCCCGCACCCACACCCACAGGCAGTTCTGAAAACACCCCAAAAGATAGCTCAGTTCCCTCGAAGGATTACTAGGAGGGAGTCGAAACGATCGCAAGGGTACGTACTATCTCTACTTACACGTGCCAAAAATGAGCTGGATTTCAGTAGTTTTTTTTTTTTAATTTTTCATCATCTTAAATTACAATGATTCATAACTCCATTCAAGAAATATTTTGGCAAAAACTTCAAAATCACAATTCTAAAAACGTCGATTACGCGAGTTTAAATTATCGCTATAAACGCTGCTCGCACAAAACGCATGTCCGCGCCTGCAAGACTGCATGGATACCTCACGCATTGCGCGTACACTTCGGTGAGCGCTTTACTCGTCAACGATTCGTAATTCCTCGGTGCCTGACCTACCACACTGTGTGTACATACATCATTTCTGATTGAAAACACGGAGACTCAGTAATTCTGAGATCGCAGGATCGTGGATATATAGCATCCCTGCCCTATGCGTGATTGCGTGGTTTACTTTCTGAAGCAAGGAGCGTAAAATAGAGAAAATTTTTTGAAGCAGATAGAGAGGTAAGGAGAGAATGGCCTACCTTCAGCTAAAGCAAAGAGTTGCATCTTATAGAAAACGTCTTAAAAATTACGATGAGCGCATTGAAAAAGTCTGAAATACACTCTTAACTTCACAATTTGCGTAAGAAGTATATGGTTTTTTAAGCTCCCCGCTTTCCGCGCGCATATCAGGGTGTTCATCAATTATTATTATTATAACAGCTTTAATCCTCAAAATGGGTAGAATGAAACCTCTTTCATTATTTCGATTGTGTTTAACGGTGTATGGTTTTATTTTGTCCAAGAATATTCGTATTACATTTGTTAATTTTGAATCTAGACTTGAGAGTGCCTATTTCCCTGAATAGCCACATTTCAAGGAAAGTGAACATGTATTTACATTAAATCTTGATCTCCAACGAAATATACTCCCTATATTGAAATTTATGATATCTGTAAGTCGATTGTGTTAGCAATATCCCCTAAAATTGTGGTACTATCCCAATTTGTTGGATAAAATGGATATTTCAAATTAAATGTTGCAGTATCGTAACTTAAGTTCGGGTAGCACTGCAACATTTGGGTTGGGAATTTAAGTTCAAATAATCTGAAATGTCCATTTATCATCTTACAACCCCGAGCTCTTTTTTTTTCCGCGTCGAACTGTTTTGGAATGGCCTTCATCGATGAACCTCCATCCTAGTGTTACATTTTATCGAAGTCATTCAATGAGGAATCAACAATCCAGACTCTGGAAACACAGTTCTGCTTGTCAACATAGGATGATGATGTACAGTTTGTCATGCACGCAACTAAACTAACTTTGCTCCAACTGTGTGTTGCGTCCGCCGAATTGAAGGCGCGCTGAGACGCTTCTGCAGCGATTGCGTCGATGGATAAACCGACAGCCAACAGTTCCGTCTTTTGGTCGCAACTACGAACAAAATACCTGCCGTTCCGAGAAAAAACGTCCCATGAACATTCAAATGTTGTCAAATTTCTACAAATAAAGATTTATTTTTGAGAAATTTTTTGAATACTTTTCCGTGAAGTTTTTATGTATGATGATGAATTTCCCCGATCACGTATCTCGGTTTGCTCGGTTGCTATGTTGTTGTTTTTTTCATTTACCTAAATTTATTGGATGAAAAACTTTTCAACTTTTATCATGAAAAACTGCCGTGATTTTTTCTCTCTCGGCAAAGGAAATTCTCTAACCACTTATTCGAGGACTAATTTTGCTTTATTTTCTGTAGGGGGAAAAAATGGAATAGGAAATTTTAAAACATTGCCAACGAACAAGATACGTGGTTTGGAAGATCCACCGTCGATATATCACATTAATTTACTTAAAAACCCTCTTAGAAATCCACCCATAAAATTCCGCAAGTTTTCCGACAGATTCAATTAGTCTTACAATGAGTAATCCAGAAACAATGGGACATTAAAGTACTCGTCCTTTTTCCTCAACGCAGCAGATTAGGAAAATTGTTTACAAATTTCACCCTGAAATACGGAAAATTCGCGCAATTTTGTAATACGCATGACCGACGAAATATGAATCAATTAGCAATAGAATGAAAATAATTCTCTTACTTGTGCTGCGACAACTTGGCTGATGATGAGGAAGGCCCTGAGCCAGTAGTTTGCTTTGTAGGTTCGGTGCGTGAACAGTCTGTGAGCCCCCATTGTCGTGACTAGCCCAGCGAAAATCATACTAGTTATCACTGAAAATCAAAAATGGAAAGGCATCGTCGGATCCTAAAACTTCAACATTGTTTTTAGAATACTTACTTGTGCAGCTGTCTCTTGTCTGTCTGAACTTGTTTGCCATTTATGAAAAATTTTTCTCCCTCCCGACCTGAGAGAAAAGGGAACTGCAAAAATAAAAGCAGATCCGAAGATAAACCGCCAAACGTGTCCAATGCGTAAAAATAATACATTTCTATTCCCTGAAGTTTTTCATTTTTAGAATTACCCGTAAAAGAGCTACAGTCCCCAGTTTTCCTGAGCGTCATCGTTTTGTTCTGAATTTTGGCAACGGTTGCGGACGAAAAGTAGTGAAAAATGGCTAGCTATCCCATAATATTCAGCACTGAATTCATCAATGGCCTCAAAAATATCGATATCGCTACGGAAAGGTGGGAGGGTTGGGGGTTTTGGATTTCTCAGAACAAAAACTCTGAAAACAGACCCCCATAATTCTCCTTTTTAACCTAAGATATTGATATTTTTGAGGCCATGGAAACATTCAGCGCGAGAGGTTATGGAAGATAGCCATTTTTCATAAGTTTTTGCCTGTAACCGTCGCCAAAGTTCAGAAAAAGCGACGATTCTCCCGGAAAGGGGGGAGGACGTAGGTGCTCTAATTTACCAGGAAAAAACTTCATTATTTTTTTTTTTTTTTTTTTACTTATGGGACGCGTTTCTCCAGCTGTCGGTTGGACCTTGGATCGCCCATTACTTTGTATTGTGCTGCCATGCCGTGCTAAGTAAGAACGCCGTAAATCCATGAAGACTTCCCTGCGTTTTTTGAAACTTAACACTTTATAAAATAAAAACTGTTTTACCCGCGCACCTCAAATTTTCAGGTTAGGTTCTTAAAAGTATTTGCAAAAGAATTCTGTAAAAACATTGTTTCAAGGTACACAAGTTTTTCTGCCATGATACATTGTTTCCAAAAAACTTTAAATGGCGTTTTCAACCCTCTGTTGCATGTGCTAATCGCGTTGATTTTGGAGAGAAAATCTACATTGTACAGTATTTTTTCGACTACAGCAATCGATTTTTATGGTTTTTATTTAAGTAGAGGAGATTACACTTAAAACGTTCCCCAAAACTCATTTCTTTGATTCAACTTAATACTCCGGCGTAGAAATAAAGCTGAAACCCATTTGTTGCTTTCATGCAACGCTGGGTTTTTCTATGAGAAAATGAAGAAAATCTCGGGACACTTACTGAAAACTTTCGTCTGCCATTTTGAATCGAAGAATAGGAGGTAGGTGGAGTAGAGAGTGAGGAGGTAAAGGAAGAAGAATCCTATGGCGTTGGGAAACCAGACAATTTCCATCTTGTGCGGTCCCGCTTCCGCCGATTTCGTGTCAGCTTTGATCAGCTGGCTGAGGTCGTCCTCGTAATCACTCAGGTCGTTATTATTCTTGTCGCCTTTGGCGAACCCATTCTCCTTGGGAGCGGCGCCTTTCGTTTTACGAGGACTCTCGGTTTTGGTCTCGACCATCCTGCGGCAAAATACGAGAAATATTCAGCAAGGAAGTTTAATATGGACGTATTTCTATCAAACGGAACTATGTGCATTAAGACATGAGCCCTGGGACCCACAAGAATATGTGCATAACAGGGCTCACGCCATTATGCACATAGTTCCGTTCGGCAGAAATACGTCCATATGTGAAAAAACGATTCGACGGCGCACAATGGATCGAGTCAATAGCAGAAGTCGGACAAAATTTGGAAACTTTAGACGCTTATACTGCCGTGCTAAGGAAAAACACCGTATGAACCTTCAGACGTTGCCAAATTAATTTTGATGAAACACGCATTTCCGAGAAAACTTACGAACATTTTTCTTCCAATTTTTCCGATAATTTTGTTCACAATTTCATCTACAGATCCCTAAAATCTCATAGAAAAATGTTCATAGATACCCTTAAAAATAAATATCTTATCGTAGGAAATTTGGCAACTCTCGAATGTTCATACGGCGTTTTTCCTTAGCACGGCAGTATAACACCGTTTGTACAAGACTTTGAAGTTCTAAAAGTGGCTCCATTGGTTTTCTCGTGACATTTTTTTTAAGAAGCACCCCTTCGATTTAAAATGGGACGAAATAGACATAAAAAATTGCAAGCTTTAGTAAAAAATTGCATGTCCACCCTCTCTAATTGAGTCGAACCACAGTGCGGCGGAAGTCCCAACCACGTATCTTGTTTGCGGTGTTTGAAAATATCCGCCTCCGTATTATTTTTTAAAGGAGTTCAAATTGACATCATCCCTCGAAGTTTTTGCAGAATTCTCTTCGCACAGAGAAGCAAAATCACGGCAATTTTAGAGAATTGCTGTTGAGTAGTTTTCCGTTTAAAAAACGAAGTTTGACAGGAAGTTTGCCACGTCGCAAACCGAGATACGTGGTTGCGGACTCACACCGTCGAATTGCTGAAACAACATCCCAGGATATTAGTAATTTTTGCGATAACTCTGGAATGTTGATATGAACTCTTCGGTTGTTCAGTTAACGTCATTAGGACGTTACTTTCACAACCGGAGTGCTCATACTTATTCAGGATTTGGAGTTGTGGCGTAGATTTTTAACATCCTGAAATGACAATTGGACGTATTTCTGCTAATCGTAACAGTGGCGTGACGTGATTTGCGATATATCGATTGATCTGCCATTTAAACCCATAGAAAAGGATCGATTCACAGGGTGTTCGGAACGAACACATCAATAATCGATTCTTCACCATAGCTTCAAAGGGAGAAATTTCGATAATCGATCACTCACGCCTCGCCACTGAACCGGAACCAGATACAGGTGTTTAGGTATGTAAACATTTCACACAAGAAGAAGTCGGGAAATCAACTAATAAACAAGATATTCACAAGATGTAAGTGTTTACGATTAACATTGGTCAAATGGCAAAAATGCAAATGACGTTATTTGGCTGATGTAACTTCCATCTAAACTGCGCTTAAATTACTTGATAATATCCCGTCAAAGAGTTACAAATAATTCCCGTTTGTGTGAATCGATTTCCTCGTAAGATTTTGATGAGAAAACATGTGAAGTTTTCCTCCAGCTCAAGGAGTTACGGAGCAGAGCAATATCGTATGCAAGTAAGTACCTTAACGTGGAAGCTCAACATGTCTAGAAGGCACAGCAGAGAACCCGGTCTGGGATGTGCAATATTGATTTTCAGTTTTCGGCGATGCTAAGCACTTCCTAAGACTGTAATATCTCGCAAAGTTGAACTACCAGGGTTAAGACAATATCTCGATCGGCTGAGAACTCAAAATCGCCAATTTTGAGCTTTGGGCCCTATTAATGCGGCCTCCCTGGACAATATGCTCCCAGGAGATACGGTACCTATCAACAGAACTTGTTACATATTTCCAAGATCTTTTCTCCTTCCCTCACCCATAGACGGTCTCATATCGTCGCTCCTCTGGCGTAGGGGCGTATCTCAATTTCCACGTGAGCCCTGGAACGTATACGAAGAGCAGGGCTCACGTTGCAATTGGACGTATTTCTATCAAACGGAACTATGTGCATTATGACGTGAGCCCTGGTATGCATGTATTCTTTTGGGTTTCAGGGCTCATGAGTTAATGCACATAGTTCCGTTTGATAGAAACACGTTCAATTGAGATATACCCCTACGCCGCGCCAGAGGAGCGACGATCAATGGCAGCGGGCGAAAAATGCGTATCTCCATCGCAACGTTTAAAAATCATAGATTCTTTTATCTTTTTAGGAGAAGTTAAATCAAAGTTAATTTCGAAATTTTATGTGAGTATTATTGAATGAGCCAGAAAAATCCATGGAAAATTTCAAGGGCAACGGTTGGGTATATTTTCCTTTCAAAAATTGAAACATTCGCATTTTAAGCGATCAGCCAATAAGAGCGTTTTTTTCACAAATATTTCAACCTGCATGCTTCTAAAATTTTAGTACCTATGCTATAGTATACTAGAGGGACCTATAACATATTTAGAATAGATTAATTTGCGAAACCCTTGTTTAATGCTCTTAGTGTCAAAGCACAGATGATGATAGTCGTTTTCCTATAATTTAATTTTTTAGTGTTAGCGTATTTTTATCAAAATTGACAGTTCAAATTTTAGTGAGCGAGTTCTTTCATCTCAACGGTGCTCATCTTCTCGCGGGATATTAAAAACGCGCCTACGTAGAAAACAGCTGAATGCATCTCTTATCCGATCGTATTAGAGCTTTCCCGCTTGATTTTCACTGAAGCCATCGACATGATTCAACACAAATTTGTTCATCGATCCAAATCACCACTCAAAACGTCAACTTTGAAATAATCCAATCCCTCGTTCGTGATAAATTTTTTCAGAAGAACATCGGACCCAAGATGTTGATTTTCACACTCCACTCTCCCAACCCAAAAAATGTTGACAAGCTTACCTGGTGCAGTTGTGCAGGCAGAACACGGAATGACTAACGGACAAAATCATACCGGTGCATTATTTAAAGGCCACCGCCGTTTTCTTAACCCCGATTCGATTTTGCAAGAGCAGGTACACGTGGTGCATTCGGCGCCGGCGTCGCGTCGCGTCGCGACGTCGGTTGCCGCCTTGACATCACCTTCCGGCCAAAGTATCACAACCGCCATGCGACGTTTCAAAAGTTCCGCCGTCATTTCATTTTTTACAGAGAAATTGTTCGACGAAGCTGTCTGAAAATTTCACTGAATTTTCTTCGTACTTCCGATAAAATGGACCACTAGACAAGGTACGAATTTAAGCAATCTGATACATGTTTCTTAACCAGAATTTCATGTAGAACACGATTCACACTACGAAAATTACCGAAATCAACTTCTAACGAAGATATTAACGTTTTTATTTCGCACTGATTACGAGGAATTTGAACTGCCCGCTCACAAGAAACTCAAAGCTCTACGTGAGTCAAATCGCGCACTACAACGGTTTCAGCAAGCTTCTCAATCGAGCAATGTTCATTTCCCACCACGTGTTGTTCAAAATATTAGCAATTTGCTGTAGCTGAGCCAAAGCGTCAAGATCGAGGTTGCAAGATTTTTATATAGCAGAGGCTGTCATGATAACGTTTAGCGCACGATGTGAATCACGTAGAGCATTGAGTTTTCATGAGCGGGTGGTTTGAATTCACGCATCAAGAATCATTAAATATCTTTGGAAGGAGTTGATTCCGGTAATTTTCGTTGTGCGCGTCGTATTCTACGTGAAATTTTAGTTAAGAAACATGTCTCAGAATGCTGAAATTCATACCTTGCCTAGTGGTCCATTCAGTGAAATTTCCCAACAGATTCAACCAACAATGGAAATGTTGCATGTGTGAGGAATTTGCGATTTGTCCGGTGATTCTTAAGTAAAAGTTCGCGGGTACCACTGATTTTCTCTAAACTCAACTCCCAAGCTCAAAGCTCTCAAGTTGAGGCCAAAATGGAGGGGATATCCCACGCTCTTCTAAGAGTCCACCTATGCATCAAGACAAACTCTCCATGCAAAGATAGGGAGCATAAACATTGACAGGGTTGCCGTGATTTCAGTTTTAGAGACCCCTCATAAGGTGACAGCCCTGTGAATGTATTTGCTCCCTATCTTTGCATGGAGAGTTTGTCTTGATGTAGAGGTGGACTATCAGGATAGCGTGGGATATCCCCTCCATTTTGGCCTCAACTTGAGAACTTTTTTCGAGCTTGGGAGTTGATTTCAGAGAAAACCAGTGGCACCATCGTATTTCTCGCGAACTTTTACATAAACATCAATTGTCAAATCGCAAATCCCTCACACATGCAACATCTCCATCAGTGGCGTGGCGTGAATTGCGATTTATCGATTGTGGTGCCATTGAAACCTATGAAAAAAGATCGATTATCAGGGTGTTCGCAGCGAACACCTTAGTAATCGATTCTTTACCATAGCTTCAAATGGCGAGATATCGATAATCGATTATTCACGCCACGCCACTGATCTCCATTTCTCTGGAAAAAAATAAAATGGCGGCGAAAATATTTAAACTTCGCATGGCAGGGTGATACTTTGGCCGGAAGGTGACGATAAGGCGGCGACCGGCGGCCCGGCGCGACGGCTAAAACCACGCGTATCGACGGCGTAAGTCCGCAATCACATACCTCGTTTGCGGTGTCTGAAAATCTCCGCCTCTATGTTATTTTTTTAAAGGATCACAAATTGACATTCCTTGAAGTTTTTGCAGAATTTTCTTCGCACAGAGAAGGAAAACCACGGCAGATTTACAGAATTTCCGTTGAGTAGTTTTCCGTTAAAAGATAAAGTATGACAGGAAGTCTGCGACGTCGCAAACCGAGTTATGTGATTGCCGCTATACGCCGTCGATATACGTTACGGAGCCTGAAAATGTCCGCTCCTATTTTTTTTATATCAAAGAGAGAAAAGCCAACTTTATAGCGTGCAATTAAAATAGAATATTCTTCTTGCGGATAAGAAAACTCAAAGGAGTTTTCAAGAAAGTACGTTGACTAGTCTTCCAAAGAAAACTCAATTTTGATAGGAAGTCTGCAACGTCGCAAACGGAGATATGGACGTATTCCTGCCAAACGGAACTATTTGCATTGAGACATGAGCCCTGAGAACCATAAGAATATGTGCATAACAGGGCACACGTCATAATGCACGTAGTTCCGTTTGATAGAAATACATCTATATGTATGGAATGCATTTTGCAATTTGGAGCTAATTCTAACTCATCTGAAAAAACACTTATGTGCATAGGCAAAGTAATGGCACATACGTTGTTTTTAAACCGGGGGCGAAATTTATAGTTCTTAATTGCAAAATGTAGTCTATATGATGTTCTGCACTTTGCTAACACTTTGGAACAAGATTGCCATGATCGCATGTCACAACAGCTTTCATTTGAAAAATCAAGCGCCTGTAATATTTGGTAATAAACTTCTGTAATAACATGTTGTCTCTTAGTTTTTTTGCTGGTTTCCGTGACGTTGGCTCTAGATCCATGCCTAATCTTAGACCTATAAGGAGTCTCTGGTAAGTACGGTAGGACTTTTCCAGGTAAAATAATGGTTTGATCGGTTGAAATTTCTAAATTTGTAGCCTTCCTCTTGGAATTCAATATCAGTAGCTGTGTCTTTCTATCTTTTCTTTTCAATTTTTTTCCTCTGTAGTTCTCTCTTTAACTGTCTTTTGACACTTTTAGTATCTTCTTTAGGGTGTTTCTTATCTGGAGATTCAGCACTTAGGAAAATGTAATCTTTCTTTTAAGGTGTATTTTTTTAAAATATAAGTTGAAACTGTAACTAATAGAGGTACATCATGGAAAACGGGAGGGCCTAATATTACAAATGAATTACTATTTGACCATGAGCCGCGAGAACTTGTCAGTGAAAGTGTCACCTATCATCCGCAAAACGCGTATACGTTCTCGACACCTCTTGAATCCATTTTATATCGTTTAATTTCATCAAAATTAACCAGAAAGACTATCCGGACCTAGTCCCGTTGCCTGCCATACTCCTGAGTTTTTTTTAAAAGAGAATCCCGAGGCACTCCAATATCCCTCTTTTGATTAAAGTGCTGACTAAGTGATGAAATATGCCTGTGATACCGACTTGAAAGTGATATCTATGTCGAAAGATTTAAGACACAACGTACCCATCTTGCCAGGAAAGGGAAGGGGATGGCTAATAAGTCGATCGACTAGGATTCATGACGTTTTCCGAACAGTAATCCAGGATTGCGCGAAAGGTCTAAGAAAATATATGAGGATTACGCGAAAAAGGCAGAAGGATTGCGCGAATAAAAACCTTAACATCTGGTACAGGAATGCACGAATTTAAAATGAAGCTAATTGAAGGTAGAAGTTTTTCAAACAGGAAACAATTGGAAAATAAACGCATTTGTATGTTAACGCTAGTTTAGGTAAGTTTGTTGACAAATCGTCGATGTCTGACCTTCTGATGATAAACGAAGTGAACAGATTGAAAAATGGTCGTGAGTAACTGGGTATAAAGAACGTTCACAACTTTTCTCGGAAAAAATATTTCATCGGGAGTGACGAGGCAACGTTGGAATGCTCATGCGGCGTTGAAACACAACACAGACCTTTTAAGCTCTATTTTTCGACGCCGCGATTATTCTAACGCAAGTTCGAATAATCGCGCCAAACACAGTGCGGCCGGCGTTAAACGTGTATAAGCGCCTGCAAGACTTTAAGAATACTTCACGCATTGCACCACATAGTGCGGTCGGGGTCAAGCCCATATTGGCGCCTGCAAGACTGCATGAATACTTCTCGCATTGCGCTGAACGCAGTGTAGTCGGTCAGTTGGCTTGAAACGCACATAAGCGCCCACAATACTGATTTGCCTGTCATCATTCTTTACTTTCTGCTCCAGTTTTTACCATAATAATTTAAAGGGAAAATATGTTCCCTTTCAAAATGTATCCTATCATTCAGAAACTCGGATGATATTTAATCTTTGTTCGTTACATTAAAAGAAACTAGGACGAATAAAAATATCGCGTCGAAATTTTTAATACTTTTATCTGCAATCATTTAGGTATTTTCGCGGAAACTTTTCAGAAAAACTGTGTGTAGGTTTTTATAAACATTTTTTTAAAAAAAAGTATGAAAGTGGTGCATAATGTTGCACTTAGAGATAAATATACGCTTTCTTTCGGGTGCACCCGTCTGGTATTAACTCCATTCATCTCTTAAAGAACTTGAACATGGTTGTTTTACAATTTTTCACGTGTAGTTTCTTTTCAGTGGTTGGAGGCCGCGTAGCGGCCTTTTTTAAAATATCGATGATACAGGCCCGCCACAGGGGGAGGGGGGGGTGGTTACTGGGTCCCTGGTACTGGGGGCCCGTGTTACCCGTGAAAAACCACTACGAACTCACATGCAACCCTTGTTTCGTAAGAAAAAATTGAAAAATTTACCTTAAAAATTTCGCAAAAGGTGAATAGATTTTCAGAAACAAGATGGGGCACTGTAGAATTCTTCTTAAATTTTCAAAGAAGTATACTTCTTGGAAAATTTCTATCTATTTTCAAGATTTTCAGTACGGAAGGATATTTTTAGTAACTGCGTTTCATTTTCTTCCGTCGTCAGATGCTGAGGGTCTCCAGTCTGGGCATCCTCGACTTCAATGGCTCATGGCTCAACTCCCTTGTCATAGACAAACGAAGTGGGAGTCCGGGGGGGCCTGACCCTCATAGAACTGAAAATAGTATCATATGCCCCCCCCCAAAAAAAAAAAAATAAAAAATAAAAAATATCCAGTTGTTTTGAATGGAACAATTCGCAAGTATTTTGTGCTGGAAGTATAAGAAAAAAACATAATTATTCCGTTAATTTATTTAATAAATTAATTATAATCCTCCTATAAAAACCACCCATTAGCTAAATACAATTTTAGCTGAAGCGCACTTAAGCGCATTCAT